GAGCTGCACTTCAAACTGCTGGACAGGTACCACTCATACTGTTTTTATGAATACATTGTGAATTTAGATTTTAAATATTATCTTTAGCAGTATTAAGGCCCCTGCATACTCACTCTGAACTGCCGAAATGGGTTCGGATTGTCGCAGTTTCATGACAAAAATTGCGTCATTCTGTTCACATTGCCTAAATTTCAGCAGCTTCTTGACACAACCCGCTGGTCGAACCTTTTACCCCCCTCCACATACGAACTGTGTGATTGGTCAGAAGTTTGTGGGAGTGTTTGTGCTGAAAGCGCTCAGAAGCTGCATTTTGTTTGAACCACTCGCTTCAAACAAAAAAAAAAAAAGGAAAAAGAAAAGCGACTCACTTCATGAGCCGACTGTTTTAGCAGGAAGAGGCATTTTATAAAGATAGTCAAATGGCCAAAAACACATGGATGGAGCTAAAACAAGCATTTTGCATGGTGGAATCTAACTGATAAAAACTTGAAGCTTTAACAGCGACAAATTTGTGGGTAAATAACATCGAGTGACGAGTCTCAGACTTTTTTTTTACGCGTTGTGGGCTTCAGTGGGAGGAACCCCCCCTGTAATGACATATGCTGCACTGGGAGGGGTTTCCCCAGGAGCTCGGCAGGGGGTGTCTCAGGGACTATGATAGGTGTATGCGAAAACAAACGCCAAAAAAAAAAAAAAAACACGTGACTGTGCATCGACTGTTTGGCTTCGGAGGGAGTATGCAGAGGCCTTTAGAAGTGTTAGCAGAAGTTAGYGGCAGATAACCAGGATGATGTCATCATCCTGCGACAAACATCAATAATGGCAYCAACTGCAAGCCACCGCTAGCCCCTGCTCCATAACTGCAAGTTTGATGTCTTGTAGGGAAACTTTAGCTGCACTGGAGCGCTGCGCTAGTGGTTACTATTGTCTCAGGATGATGACGTCATAACAGCGAAGGCTGCGTTCCATTCCAAAAATACCTAAATGTGAACTTCAACTTTTACGGTTTTACTTTTACATTTAGCTTTACACCTTTAGATTTAGGATTTAATATATTTTTTTTACATTTAAATTTAACATTTAGCAGAAATTAGCTAAATGTAAGAACAGTGAGCTAAAAAAACAACAAAATGTTTGTGGAGAAATTTTAACACTCAAGTGAGGTAAATAATGAAAAATATGCTAATTTTTTAAATGTTTCATTTTACATTTGGCACCACATACTTAAACTGTTATCATCTACAGTCTCATTGTCAGGACCAGTTTTGCTTTTGCAGCTTTGCTTAGATTTTTGGATAATAACGCACCAAAAACACTGGCCTATTTTTGTTTCTACATATTTTAAAAAGTCATATTTTTCTGTGGAAAGTATAAAGTCATTACAGCAACAAGCTCCACTTCAGCARTGCTTGTTAGAGGAAGCTAAAAGACACTTCCTCTTTCATTCTTCTCTCTCTATGTAAACTCATAGAGCACGATTACAGCGCACCAAAGTTACACGCTCATGCGCATGCGCAGAACCCACCTACTCCGGCGCCCTGGTTCCATCTTCATCCATCACTCCGCTTTTCCTCCTCCCTCCCTGCTCTCCTCCCTCCTCCRCGCCGGGGGGCACAGATGGGAGGAGACGCTGCTCCGTGTCTTTTCTCCTGCAGCGGGCTCTTCGCAGGACCGGAGGAAGAGGAGAAGCTCCACCGACAGGATCTCCACATCCTCCCCGCCGCTCTTCTCTCTTTCTCCGGGTGTGTCCGCATCCCGGCCTTTCTTTCTTTCCTTTGTTGTCTTTTTTTTTTTTTTTCTTTCATGGACGGAGAAGCTTTGGAGCCAGTCTCCGTGTTACGTGGATTTAACCCCCCCTCCAGTGATTGGGACATGAGTCCTCCTTTCCTGGTGGATGTGCCGCTCGTCTCCTCCGTTTTCTGGCCGCTGAGGGGCTGAAGATGCGGCTGCATGGTGGCGCGGGTACCTGTCCTGGTTCCGTACCGGCTCGGTTCGTCCCTGTAGACTGATCCATGCTGCTCGACTGATTTTTTTTAATTTTATTTGTGTTATTTCTATTTATATAGAAAATAAAATAAAATCGGGACCCATCACCTGCACCCTGCCAGATGGATAACTACTCCACTTTACCACGTAAGACACCTACCTGCTGCAGTATTCCTCATTAAGTGTTACCGGTGCCGTCATTATAAACTCTTTGTGCTGAGAAGTTAAACCAATAAGCCTATATATGTATTTTATCAAGATGTTTAATTTGCTGAGGCAGAAGGCATTTCATCATTTCTCTGTAGGCCTATTTGGACAAAATCGTGCAACAAAAGCAGTGACACTATTTTTTTCACCCTGCATGGATGTAAAAATTCAGCATCCAACCCCCTTTAAATTTCTATAGACCCTCCATCCTTTATGAGCCTGAGCTTTGTGATGAGCTAATGAAACAAACACGCCTGCAGGGGGAAGTTAGAGGTGTGTGTGTGTGTGTGTGTGTGTGTGTGTGTGTGTGTGTGTGTGTGTGTGTGTGTGTGTG